ACGGGTGTTGAATCACAGTGTAGAATTGTACGCAACCACTTGGGACACATCCCACAGAAGTGGGAATTGTTGGAGAGTGTTGTGCAACACAGAAGTGAGACAGGAAAGCACTAAGCTATTTCAGTGGCAATGCTCAACCCACTCCCACTCAGGATTTAGTGCATGGCAGCTTTACACGACATGTTCTGCAACTGAGGATGGCCTTAAATGCGTCCTGAAGATGAAGCAGCTGAACTGTGAGCATTGCTTATGTGTGCTTCAACACTGGGCAAAGAGAGAATGTGATCAGATGGTGTGGATGGCTGAAAGCTCCTTTCATCACTCCCCACCACCCATTCCTCTTGTGCTGTCTTTGTTAACAAACACACACCATCAAACCTTGTGCTGTGTGCTCCTTAGTGTTGTAGTGACTTCTTATGTAAATTGTACCAGCCCACAGTAAAACCAGTTCAGTTGCAGTCTGCACTGCTGGGATGGACACAGAACAGAGAAGAAGAACCAACATGCTAGTGATGGTTTTTTTTCTTTAAAAACATGAAAACCGAAGACCCTGTGCAATGACATACTGCAAGACATATCCCCAGCAAGCAGAATCACCTTTCTATCTGCAGAGACCTCTCCAAATGTCAAATTCCAAAGGCTACCTGTTTGCAAGTGCCCTCATCCAACTTGTACACACAACAGCACCTAATTAGAGGTTTGAAACTGAAGAGTAATTTTATCTGTGGATCTCATAACTCTCAAATCTCTCTTTGAAAAGCATGGTTATGTAGCTGATGGTAACACTGCTTTTCCATGAAGAATCTCATAAGCAAAAAGACTGCAAACATGATTAAGAAACATAAGCAAGGAGCCATTGTTTAAAGCCAAAGGGACATTATCACATCTCATGGCAGGAGTATTTGTTGGAGAATCAAAATGCAAAATCCTGTACTTCTGGCCTGCTTTGCCTAGGTCTAGCACTCTGCTTCTCATCTCACCCCTTTCCAGCTGACATCCCAGGTGCTGCTGCTTTGTTCAGGCAATGCGTGAGTGCTTGCACAGGACATCCCAGCAGGATTAAACACACAGCTACTGTTCTTGAAAAGCTTTCATCACAAATGAGAGGGACTGGGCCCTGGGAGGACACTGTTGCCCTGAGCCCTGCTGTGGTTTTACTTCGTTCCGCTCCACCCAGGAGCTGTCTGCCTTTCATCCCCAACAATAATCATCTCTGGGCGTAAGACAGGAAAGTGCCTTTTGGCTGGGAGAGCAGCCAGATCCACAGCAGGCAGATCCTGCATGAAAGCAACGCAGACAGATAGCAGCAGGAGCCACACTAACTCTGTGCCTATGGAAATCACATCTGAAAGTTGCATTTGCAACTCTTTCTTTGCATTTTCCATGTGTGCCTTTAATCATTTCAGAGCATAAATCATGCTACTTAGAGATGCAAGGGCAGGGGATGCACAAGGAAGGGCAGTCTTGTGACTGAGATGTGGGAGAGCTGCCAGGTGCATTTCAGGTTCGACCATCACCACTCTAGCTTATCATCCCAGCGATGAAACAGGGAGTGCAAGGCAGATCTGGCAACGCGTTGTACAGTTTGGGATGGTTTAGAAGTGCTCAGACCATATGCCGATCAGAGCTGTATAATTGGATAATCTAACAGAACACTTCAAATTGCATTAATTGCTTTAGACACCTCAAAAATCACAAATCCGCTGTTTGTAACACACTACCCTGCAGTACTGGAGTGATCCATGTGGTGGATTGTGAGGGGTCTGGAGCACAAGACTTAAGGGGAGCAGCTGAAAGAGCTTGGGTAGTTCAGTCTAAGAAGAGGTTCAGATGAGACCTTATAGCTCTCTACAACTCCTCAAAAGGAAATTGGGGTGAAGTGAAGGTCAGCCTCTTCTCCCAGGTAACAATGATAGAATGAATGAGAAGGGCCTCAAGTTGTGCCAGGAAAGGCTCAGATTGGATATTAGGAACAATTTCTTCTCAGAAAGAACAGTGAGGCATCGGCACAGGCTGCTCAGGGAAGTGGTGCAGTCACCATTCCTGGAGGTGTTCAAGAACCATGGAGACGTGGCACTGGGGTACATGGTGGTGGGCAGTATTGGTGATAGGTGGACAGTTGGACTAGATGGCTTTGGAGTCTTTCCCAGTCATAATGCTTCTATGATCTCATTTCCTAAGCAGGAAGAACCTGATACCAAACACATCCTTGCTGAGCTCTTACAAACAGGAGGTTTGCCCATGAACCAATTGAATCTGTGAGTGACTGCAGTCTGATATCCTGATAGAAACCAACCACCAGCTGCATAAGGAAAACTGCACTAAGAGAAAGAAGCTGTACTTCAAGGTACTTCACTAAAGCATCCATAGGCAGGAACCCACCAGCAGATAGACGTAATGACAGCATTACTTGGCTCTGCATGCCCAAAAAGAGGGCTCAACACTTACATTGATTACACAAACCCTGCTTTTTGGCATTAGCCCAGAGTTTAGCAAGCCAACAAGAGCTGCTCCCTCTGACACTCACAGGCACAGCTGCCTCAGCTGAGCTACCTCCCCAGTCCTAGGCAAAGCCAGACCTGCAGTGAATGGGGATTACTCACCGGAGGAAGGTGTAACCAGCAGAGGAACGATAGGTATGCGGAGCTTTATTTGCAAAATGAGAAGGAATCACACTTTGCTTATTAAAGGATGTCTGACCCTTCTGTCGCTGATTTCATGTGAAGGGCCTCTACCAGGCACAGTGCCCTTGCTCCAAAAGCATGCTCAATTACTGCACTCACTTGTCCGTAGGAGCTCAAAGCAGAGCAGAAGATGGAACTGCTGGAAGGAAGGCTACAGAGCTCGTGAATAGGCAGGAAGCAGTTCAGCTCATAGACAGCTGCAAAGCATGAAATAACTCCCCAAATGCTCACCAGGGAAAAACAGTGTGAGGAACTACTCAGTTTCCTAAAAGATCACAGAGAACACAACACATAGGAAAGGAAAAGGTAGTGTGCAAGAATAGATGGCCCTCACTGTACCATAGTTCTAGGATGTTGATCTAGGTACCAAAAATGCTTTGCAGAAGCAGCCGCGTGCACAGGAAATTGTGCAAGAAGCATCAGGTGGGCACTTCATGCCTCACAGAGGGCAGCTGCAAAAATGGGTGTTCAAGGCCAGGTTGGACAGGGCTCTAGGCAGGCTGACAGCCTAGACAGCTGGTTGGCACCCAGCCCACAGCAATGGGTCTGAACCATCCCATCTTTAAGGCCCCCTCCAACCTAAGCCATTCAGTTATTTTACAACACAGTCATAGATGCTCTCCAGGCAGAATAACATCATCACTAGAAGGCCAAAAATTGCAGGGGGAAAACCTTCTGATAAAATGTGGGACCAACAACCCATGCTTACTGCAACAAAAGGAACTGCAAGGTGAGAGAAGCAGGTTAGGAGCCAAATGGCACCTATCCTGAAGAGCAGATCTGGTTGGGCAGGAGCAGGGAACACAGAGACTCAACTTGAACAGCAGTAGTACATGGACAGCTCTGCTCCCATATAAGTGCTACAACAGTGCTGGATGGGACTGCGCCACAGCAAAAGGCTTCTCTCAGATACAGCAGCCCAACTTTCAGAGAATCAGAGTGTAACCTGAATCCTGAGAAAGGAACAGGAAATTCACAAGATGCACTGCAGTAGCTACACTGGTGTTAAGCTTTAGAGTTGGGGAGGGAAAAAGGAAAATACATCTTGTGACAGCAGTGATTTCACTTGTAAAGTAGCTTCGCTTATAAAGTAACAAACCTGGTATTTACATTAGAAAGAAAACAAAAGGTAGAAATGACTGAGGAAGAGCAGCCTCATGGCTTTCAGGTGAGAGGTGTAATCCATTCCCAGGCTCACTGTGCTATTGCTCAGCCACCACCGAGATTAGGCTTGTTTACAGAAAGCAAGAAGCTTGGCACGACTTATAGCAACAGATTTCCTTGCCAGAGCCCTAATACCAAATGTCTGTGCAAAAGCCGTTTGGAGAAGTGCTATTTACTTTGGTAATGAGGTGAGTTCCCTGGAATGTAGCATTGCAGTGTTCCCAGAAGATGTTGCAATCCACTTACCTGTGTCTCAGCTACGTACCATACCACACAGGCACTCAGAGCATGAGAACTGCTCAGCTGAGCCAGGAGACAAAGGACTGAAGCTCAGATCTTCCTTACAGCAACGTACCTCACTCCCACAACAAGTACACAACCTGGGTCTCCACTGAAAATTTGCTTGGGGTTTGGTTTCTTTATAAAGTTTTCCAAGCTGCCACAAGCTAAGACATAGAAATTAACTCCAATAAGAGACCCCTTACGGGAGACAGACCCCACAAGAAGGTCCTCATAAATCACAAAACCCATAAATGTTATGAACTTGTCCTGTAGTACCTCTTTTTGGGCAGCACTGACCTCAGACCAGCTCTCTCCTGGTAGCACCTAACAGGAATACCAGCGTGCAGTTGGACTAATGATTACCTGCAGGAAAAAGAGAAATTAAAGGTAGACTTTAGAGGCCAAGGCTCCCTTGCCTCTCCGAGTCACGGGCCTGGGGCTACTCCACTCTTTCTCATTTAGGATGGAATCCCAAGCTGCTGCTCCAATCCTTTGACCACACAGATGAAAGACTCTCTCCTACTTAAAATCCCAGCTCTCCACTTATTTGCTGAAGCTTCCATTTGAAATTTTGCTCCCAATAAGGTAGTTCACCAAACCCCTCCCTGGAGTCCAGTACCTGGAGGATTCCTTTGTAGTTGAATTAAATGGACTTCCTACTGAAACAAGTACTGGCATCTGCACATTTTGTTTACAAACAACTTGCATTCCTATGAGAGCACTGAGCTCTACTTTGCACAGTGCTGCAGTTCTTCATAACCCTGTTTCATGCTCTTAGAAGTGTTGAAACTCACACTTAGAGGAGAAACCAAGCTCTAATTAGAAGTGTTTACATGTACTCCTGAGAGCAAGAACAAACTCTTACCATGGTTAGATTATGTAAAAAGTTTAATTATAAAATAAATAAGTTTGTTATGGAAGCATTAAATATTAAATACAATAATAAATATTTACACATTTACAGATATGTCTTGACAATTAATGGTGTTGCTCTGCTACCAGAAGAATTCTGCTCTGTTTATACAGAACACATTTGCTCTTCGAAGAAGAAACTGAACTCAACTACTACAGCGTGCACAAAATTTCACGGACATCAAGAAACTGAGGATAGCTAGGTCAGAAAGGTTTGAGGTAAGTCACGTTCTTCACATCATAATGAAGAGCATAGGAGACCACTGCATGCTGAGTAACAATGCTTGAATTTAGTTCTTCAAAAAAAAAAAAAAAAAAAAAAAAAAAAACCAAAAAAAAACCAACAGGTTTTTGGTCAAGTTCTCATATTGCCAGATCTGATTAAACTGCTCAAAACAGCACCAACCATCTGGATTACAGAAGCACTGTGTTTCAGCCAATGGATAGATGCTGCAACATCACTGTCCAGACTTATCAGCTTGTTTGATCACATGTATTCCTTCAGTGACAGAGCTTCAGATCTCACATCTGTTGTCTCAGCATCTTGAGATGAGTCTTAACTCTGCATCACACACACACAAATTGATAGCTCCGCTCACACAATCCTACTGGGTTCAGAGGGAATACCTTCCACATGTACAGTAACAGAACCCAGGTGTGGTTGACAGACCTGTCACCAACACCCTGCAAGTCAGAATTAGAGATGAAGAGATGAAACTCTTTGAAGCAGATACCAACAGGGAGCACAGCAACAGCAGAATTTGGTTTTGTCCACTGAGGTCTAGTGAGATGAGCTCTTCCTTTTTCTACCTTTGAGGAGAGGTATCTCCTCCCCTCCATCTTGCTCTCCTGGGAGCCACAGCTTCTGCCCCTCGGAGCTAGAGCTGCCAAAGGAGACTTGCTAGCAGAAGAAAGTCCATCCACATACAAGCAGAGTCTTGGAGGTCCAGCACCAATAGAGAAAGCTCAGGAGTAGTCTCCAGCAGGTCTTGATAGCAGCCCTCTACCTTTACAGTGACAGCTCCTTCCACATTGTTGTACCAAGTTGTAGCAGTTAACTGTCCTCCCCAGCAAGTGATTCAGCAGCAAATGGCACATTGGGCATCTCCCTGCAGCAGCCTGTCTTGATGAATCAGGGCTTAGTGGCAACAGCTCCAGCCCAGTGTCCAGGTAGATGTGTCAGGTAGCCAGAGGTCCCCTGCAGCTTGGTAGAGGCCACAGAGTTGTTCTGTAAAGGGAAGACCAAGCACATTAGCTATCACTCAAAACATGAGCACTCCACACTAGAACCAGAGCAAGCCTATATCCAAGGCAGGCAGCTTTGTCTACAGTCTGTTAGCACCAGGAACTCCCTAATGCCTTGAGGAGATGTGGAAATGCTCATTCTTGCCTAGATTAGTTTTTATTCCCCAAAAGAGAATTTCAATAGAGCTTTCCGTTAGTGGAATGGATTACTTCCCCTTTGGTTTTTAGCTGTCTTTAAAAGTGCTGTTGAATTCACATGCATAAAATCCAGCGGTTTTAGAAAACCAGTGAGCTGGGCCATACACATGTAACCTACATGTTTCAAGGCACTTTGAGCGCTAAACAAAACATGAAAGGTAATGCTAGCTTTGCTAAACACGCACGCAACTCCTGCATAGGCAGCTCCAGCTTGGAAAAACTAAGACAAGTTGAAAGTTGGCTCACATACCTGCTTTCTCCTCATTTACACACCAACATGGCCATTTCTGTTCTCTTGTCGAAGTTTTTTCCTTTCTTCTTTCTCTTCATACTGAGGACACTTTTTCCTGACCCTGTGGAATTGGAGGGCATAAGATATCATCATTTTAAAGCCTGACATCCATCCATCCCATGCTCTGTAGCTATGCTCTTTGGATCCTCAAGTAGCTCCTAGGCACCAGAAAGCATTGAGCACATCAATGTGAGTGTTTAACTATTCAGCTACGAGATGTTATCAAGCTATTGGATACATCAAAGAGCCTTGGGTTAAGCAAGGAGCTTTGCCACACATAGCTGGGGCCTCCTGATGCAAGCACCATCAGGTAGCAAGAGGCTGGGAGCATGCAGAGCACAGGGAGACACAGGGGGGCAGATTTTCTGGAGGCTATAGCAAACAGCTGCAATGTGCAGAGCCCTGGGAACTTCAAGGAATTCGAGTGCATGTGTCCCGTGAATACATCAAAAGCCAGCTGCTAACAGCATTTCTCATTGTTAGGTCTTCACTAGTGTTCCCAATAGACCACCCAGCTTCTCTAGAGGAAGGTACAGTAACATCCATCTCACTGTTTAAGCCTGTGAGGGTTTAGATCATGAAGAACTAGAACAACCGTCCTACTGCATGGCTTGCTTCAGAAGCAAGCAATGCTCATTCTCACTACAGAACTGGTTCTTTCTCATAGCAGAGTGGAACAAAAGTGTTCCTCCCAGCGTGCCTCAAGTTTAGATCTAAATATGAAGCAGCAAAACAAATGCACACCTTGTTTCCTGAAATGCAGGGAAGAGTACAGCATGTACCAAATTATGTTGGTGTACTTTGAGATCTAAAATTAGACTGCACTTCTGAGTTCCACCTGCACTACCCAAGCCCTGCTGCAGTGCCAGACTTGGAGGACTGCTTCTGCATTCAGAAACACCAGAGCCAGGTTCCCAGTGCAACTACTTGAACTCAACACAAGTCCTGGAGAACCAACTGACAAGATGCAGAGGCACAGGCGATCAGAAGGTGCTGGATACTGCTTGTCAGCAGGTAGAAGAGTTTGATGGAATGCTTGAAGCATGCACTCAGTATTTTTTTTTTTTTTAACTTGATTCACAGCAGGACCTCAGGTTATCTACCACACTACAGCTGTTAATCACAGAACAATTGCTTCCTTCCTTAGCAGCAAGCAGTACAGCACTTCAAACTGACAGCACTTACTCTCCCATTTGATACCCCTGAAGTGCTAGTATTTAAATCCAGCAGCCTCCATTAATTAGTGGTCAGCTGGAGCACTCATTCCTCCCAGCTGTGCAGCCAGCTGTTGGATCACAGCTACACACTGAGCAGCTATACTTCTGCTGGCAGGCCTCTTCTACACAAGGATTGGGAAATGCACTGCTGCATCAGCATGAATGCTCCTCCTCCACCTCCTGCTGATGTTCTGCAGCACTAAGTGCTTTGGTTGTAATGGGAGCAGGAAGACTTGTTTTAGAACTCCACATTCATAGGTTGGCCATAGCAAAAAAAAAAAAAAAAAAAAAAAAAGGGGGGGGGAGGGGAAATGAACAGTCAGTAGCTTAGAGACTTCTCAGACCTTCTGCTCTTAAGACACATGCAAGCCAGAATAAGAACTTGTGCTTCTGGAGATCTTCCACACACAGGTAATTTAGATAAGCCATGCATATTTTGCAACTACTGGTCACAAGTCCTGCTCACACTTGAGCTAGACATACACTAAAGAGCATAATACTTACTGCACTATCACAATGATAAGTACAGCAACAAAGCTGATGCTGGAAAGCAGGACAGCTACCACAACCAACACAGTCTTTGAGTAGTCTGCTACATCATTCTTCCTTTGAGTCTTCATGAACTGTTCACCACAGCGCTCACCAAAATAATCCTGATAACACCTGCAACAAACATCAATACAAGTTCTTATCAGCTCCCGTGCTGTCTGGAGCCAAGGATACCCACACATAGTCAAGGCTGACTTTGACATCCTTAGAGTTGCACATGAATCTCAAGATGCTCACTTGGAGCATGCTCATAGAACAGTCACTGCTCTAGCAGAAGGTTTGTCAGTATTTCAACAAGTTGAGATTAGTTTGGGCGTGATATCCCAGCAGGACACACCTTTCCATTCTTTAGGTTCAAGTTTATGACCAACCGATGAGTTCAGTGGCTTGTTATGCATCTCAGATTCCATCAGCACTTAATTTACATGGCAGAAAGATTCTCAGTCAAAATACTGTAGGAAATGTATCTAGGCCAAGCTGACACCAATTTTTCCCTCTAAGCCCTTCTATGCCACCAGCACATGCAAACCACACCTCACTCACTGCACAGAACTTACTTGCAGGTTGCCATCTGAAGATGCTGTAAGTACACACATTCACCATGGATGCAGAAGTTTTTGTACTCCATTTCACAAGGAGTCCCTTTCTTTTTGTTCTTCCCTTTATTCTTTCTCCTCCTTGGTTTGCCAGCATTCTTCTCGTTCCCCCTCTTCACTGGCTTGGGTTTAACCACAGGCTCCACTGGAAACAACAAGGTCACTCAGTCTAGCATTGCAGAAAAGCTAGATGCTGTGAAATGCTATTACAGGGTTTGGGAATTATTGCAGGAGAACCACTGAGCAGGAAGCATGGGATGCAAGTCAACAAAAGCTGAGTGCTTTATATCCAGCACAGAGACAGCAGGCTTCAAGGCTCGTGGAGTTCAACTCTGCCACCACACGCTGAGCAACACAGAGTGGTGTGAGAAGATGGGCTGTGAAGGCCACCAGAGATGGAGATAGAGTGAAACCGTATAGGTTCAAGCAAGGACCTGTGCTGAATATTATGAGGTTGTACTGAGCCAAACCATCCCTTCATTTTATATCGACTCAGACACAAAACTAACCAACTCCATTGCTCTGAACTCTCTATTTGCATCAGTGATGAAAGGCACTGTGAACTGCTAGATAGTCCCAGGCGCTTGTAGAGGCACGACAGCCTGCTATCCCACTTATCAGACTTGTTTCTCCCAAATAACCTGCAGTGCTATCCTCAGCAGAAGAGATGCTTCATTTCCAGTTCTCCTACTTTGAGAGAGATGCCAAGCGCACCAAAGGGTGAAAGCAGGATCATCCACAAGAGACAGGTTATTTGTTCTGCCACTTGCTGTTGCCCCTCATTATCTCAATTAAATCTCCAGAAGAGTGTGGTTTAAAGGCTGGTGGTGACTTAGTAGTCTGTGGATTTAAGGAAGGGCAATAGTATTCCTTGCACTGGGAAAACAAGGCAGAGGAGTACCAACACCAGAGGAGTACAGTACTCCTCACCAACAGAGGAGTACAAGCTACATGCAACAAAGCTCTGCAGCACTCTTACAGAGCAGTTCAGTCCAACTCTGGCTCTCCAAACAAGCCATCTCTTTACTGCTAGCCATAAGAAGTTCTCCCAGAGGGATGCCACACTATTTGAGAACAGCAGTCAACCAGGTAAGTTTCAACAGGTCTCAAAATAGCAGACAGCTGCAGCAGTCTTCCCAGCTGCTTATTTCTCCATTGTGCTACAGAGATAAGTATAATGGTTTCTAACTACTTCATAGCCCTATGTGTCTGGTGGCAAGCAGAGATTCTGCAGAAAGAAACAAGGTGTAGCTCACTATTGTCTAGACAGAAAGCATTTTAAGTTCTAGAGCAACAAGCTTGGCTTGAAGTCACTTAAAAGCAGAATTGCCTTTAGCAACCAGAAGTCTGATTCAAATGGTATAAGCTATATTAATATGCAAACCAGGAGCACTGCCCCTGCAGCAAGGTTTCCTATCCCTAGGATTGTGAATTCACAGAGTCCTCTCTCCTGTCCTGTTCGACCTGATGCTGAGGTTCACACTTGGATAATTGAGGCTGTTCCCATTCCCCTCTTCAAGGCTGAGGTTGTCAGTTTGATCTATGCACTGTATGTAAGCTGCAAAGCCAAGAAAGCCATCCACAGTTGAATCATGACTTGAAGGATGTACAGATAAACCTCTTGGCAAGTAGAAGAGCTGGTCTACAAACCAACCACCTCGGTAGCAAGTCTGGTTTCTGTGCAGTTATACAACACCAGTCACTGCACCAGTAGTTCTGCTGGCCAAACTGCTCTCTAATCTGATATTCCTGCTCCCCATGGAGGCTTCACACTCCCAAAAAACTGGAGCGAGCATCCATTATTCCAAGTCAGCATATGGAGTGGAGTCCCTCTGGTCTTATCCACATCTCAAGGTGTTCCCTCCAACAGTGGAGCCCACCCTGGAGGGTAGCAGCACCCACCTACAGAGTTATGTAGAGGAGCAAATCCCTTGGAGGCTGAGGCTCAAGAAGTGCCTCCACGGCTCACTTTACAGCCACACAACCAACCCAACGATCCTACCCCTGCCATATCACTGCATGGGGGACTGTTCAGGTGTCCTCGTGGTTCACAGGCAGATTTACAGCACATGCACACAATTTAGCATGGCCTAAAGGGCGCTTAATGAGCTCATTTAAACGCCAACCTCGGGGCCGAGCAACACGCTGAGCTCTTGCTGCTGCTTCCAGCCAGGCTGTCCCCCCATCACAGCCCAGCTGGCAGGATTAGCGCAGAGCAGCGGCACGCTCAGCCCACCCGCAACCCTCACGCACCTCCACGCCCCTTCCCGACGCTCACCTCTGACCAGGTCCCCCACCAGGTACTGGTGCGCGAGCGGTGCCTCCTCGTACTCCTCCTCCTCGTAGTCGGAGCCCGGCGCGGGCTCAGGCTCCCTTGGGCTGCCGCGCCGCTCAGGCTCGGTGCCGTTGGGCTCGGATGCAGCAGCGGTTCGGCAGGCTGCGGGGACACAGACAGCGCGGTGAGCGCTCCGCAAACACATCGACATCCCCCCTTCCTCCTCCTCCCCGCCCTCAGCCACGCACCTGCGAGCACGGCCAGCGCGGCCAGCAGCGCCGCGGCGCGCATTGGGGCTCCGGGGGCGACGGAGACGCGGAGAGGACGCGGGCGGAGCGGATACCCGGCGGTGCGCAGCGCTCCATAGGGGCCGCCCGCCGCCGCCAACAGCTTTATAGGCGGCGGGGCCGCGTCACGGGGCGGAGAGGGCAGGTGAGGGCGGGGCGCAGGTGAGGGTGGGTAAGCAGAGATGGAGTGTGTCTTTCCAAAGGCAGAGATGTGAGCCTGGGGTTTTCTTTGCCCAGAGTTGGGATTTGCTCTGTGGGTACAGCCAAATAACAGTCCGTGTACTGAGACCTTTCCCCACGATGTGCTCCCAGGATGGGGGGATGCAGCCTCCCCAGTCAGTCTTCTGATTTCCCATCCTTTGATCAGAAGGAGATTGACCAGAAAAAGACACTTTAACAGGGTCTGTTGTGATAGGATAAGGGAAACGGTTCCAAACTAAAAGAGGGGAGATTTAGATTGGGCATAAGGAAGAAGCTTTTTATGATAAGGGTGGTGAGGCACTGGCACAGGTTGCCCAGAGAGGTGGTGGAAGCCCTGTCCATGGAGATGTTCAAGGTCAGGCTGGAGATGCTCTGAGCACCTGATGTAGTTGTAGGTGTCCCTGTTCATTGCAGGGAATTTAACTAGGTGGCCTTTAAGGGTCCCTTCCAACTGAAATGATTCTGGATATATATGGATATATGCTGGATATATGAATTTCACATAATTTCTTCCAGATCAACATGAGAAGCACTGAAGGTTTCAGCCCAGCACTGTGCTTGATATGCTGCTAAGCAATGGAAAATAGCGCCCAAAGGGGAGGAAAGGTTGAGTGACCCAAGTGCAAGTGGCCGTTAGCTGCAGTGTTTGGAGAGCAAACACAGCACATCCCGTGCCTGACTCATTCCTCTCTCCTCCAATCTCCAACCAATAGCTCTGCTCTGCTGGCTGGCAGTGGCAAGGAGTTTGGCTCAGCATGCTCTGAATTTCTCCAGCATTTTCTCTACTTCCTCTTACAGCCTACACACTGCAGCCCCTCCTTAGAGAGGACACCCTGTGGAGGTCACCTCTTCTGGGGACATGCAAGGTCCCTCAGAGCCCCAGTGCTTTGCCATACATTGCCCACACAGTTTCCATTGACTGTAGAGGAAGCCAAAGGAATAGGAAGATTTTGGAAACTGCATTGGGTTTCGCCCCTGGCTGAGCTACTGGAGGACCACCCCAGGGGTGTGGAAGGAGAAGAAGCCATGAAGGAATGTAGAACTCTCCCCACGGGCCATCCTGCAGTGGTGGTGCAAGGCTTGCCTTCAGAAAGATGCTGCTTCCCTGTGGGTGCAGAGTGCCACCTACTGAGCCACCACTTGAGATGATCCAAGTGAAACTACATGCCCAGGGTGTGAAGTTATGCATGTTCAGCCTTCAAACAGGCAGAATATGTAGATGACATTTCCCCTGACCTGAACCCGCTATAGGGGGAGCCACCTCGCTCCCACCCTGCTCTGCTCCTGTCCCTCAGCACCATGCAGCAGCCCTTGAGGTGTGGGCAGGACTTGCCCAGTGACACCAATCCTGATGGCTCAGCCCCTATGGGGCATCACGTCCTCCAGAAGTGTCCATGTGCCAACTGCGATCTCATTATTCACTTTCTTTACTTTTGATAAATCCCCAGAGAAATGCGTGAAGGGAAAGGAAGTTGCTGCAATTGCTGCCCATTAATTTTCTCTACTGACATCAAATGTTTGTTCTGTAGGGGCGGGCGCAGCTGAGCTCGGTGTTTGAGCATGAGTTATGCTTTCCCATGCATCCAGGTGAGAACAGGTGGAAGGGGGATGACTCAAGCAGTGTCTGTCTGGGCAGCTCATGACTTTCTCTCTACTTCTGATCTGCAGATGCCATATCTTCTGCTATCAGAAGCCACCTCACAGGCTGGGAGAGTGCTTTGAAGTGTGGTGTGCGTGACTCCAGTTCCTGCTGATGCAAGCCAAGAGTGCCATAATAAAGGGGATATGGAAGCCCAGCCTACATGCTGGGGAGGAGGGAAGGGGAAGGGCCCGGATGCTGCGTCTCTGGAAATCAGCACAGATCATGCTCCTCTTTGCAACACGCAGGCATTCAGATTCCTGCTCTGAAAATCTTCAACAGCAATGTTGCTCCTGAGATGGCAACAGTTCCACAGTGCACCCTTCTTTTCTCAGACACCTATGCTGGAGCAGAGTTTGAATGGGTAAAACCAGTTCAGAAATAATGTTATAACTCAAGTGAGACAGAAGTTCTGCCCAGTGCTGGGAGGATGTTTGGAAGCTGCCTGCTGTGAGCACTGCTGTGAGCACCAGCTCTGACTGCTCCATTTTTCATCAAGCATGCACCCAGCATGTCTCATCTGACCCAACACATCCTCCAATGCTTGTCCACTCGTTTGTGTGCAGTAACTCAGCAAATCCTTTGGGCAGATTCTGACCCCAGTGGTCATTGTAAGGTACTGAAGCAGCGAGCTGGGTGAAGCAGCATGTAATTACACCAGGACAGCTAGCCATCCTATCGGGGGAGCACTAGAACTCGCTGTCCATTCCTCCATCTCCTCGGGTGATCCACTCACTGGAATCTTCCCTAGCAATCTCAGGCTGTGTCCAGCCCACATCCTCCAAGAGGCAGCTCTCCATGATACCACAGCACAATGCCACTTCCTGACCATGATGCTCCAGGGGTGACACAACAAGGGGTAAAGGTATTAGACAGGAAACCCTAAAGAAACTGGGACCTGAGCTATTGTCATCAGTGTGAGCTGATGCACCAATGTCTCTCTGGCCCTTCACTTTGCACATCAGTGTTTCACCTGCATCCTGCACACAGTTTGATAGGACATGAGGTAATGGCTTCAGGTTGTGCCAGGAGAGGTTCAGGTTGCATACTAGGAAACATTTATTCTCAGAAAGAGTGGTGATGCAGTGGCACAAGCTGCTCAGGGAGGTAGTGCAGTCACTGTTCCTGTAGGTGTTCAAGAACCATGGAGATGTGACGCTGAGGGATGTGGTAGGCAATATTGCTGGTAGGTGGACAGCTGGACTGTTTGATCTTAGAGATCTTTTCCAACCTTAATGATTCTATGATTCTATGATTTGATATTACATATTGAGAACACCATGTCACCAGTAAATGAGCATCCAATCTCAGCTCGGACAATGTGTGTAACTACGTGTGCACTGAGGCTGTTGAAGAATTAATGTCTATTGTTGGGAAAACATAGGCTTTTTCTTTCTCTGGTGTCTTACAGATTGAGTTGGAAAAGACCAGAGCACAAAACATTAAATTTTAAGAGCCCCACCACAAACATGCAAACAAACAAACAAAACCCCAAAGTCCTGTAACACTGCATTTTTAAATGTAAAACACAGTTGCCTCTAATACTTGCAATATTAGTTACATATCTTCTAGTTTCTTTATCCTATGCAGCTTTCGCACAATATCACTTTTTTGCACACTGTGACAAAGTGACTTTCTGTCAGCAAAAGTCCTTAGGTGGTTGTTAATTATCTCATGTTGAGTGCAGCCCCGCCTTTGTAAGGAGTACTGTGTGGCACAGTCAGAACCAAACACAGCTGCTGGTTTTCACAGCAGAGGGGCAAATTCTCATAGCCGCAGTACAAGGCAAAGTTCCTTGGAGTGGCCTTGCACAGATAGACCAGCCATCACTTGGAATAGGTGTCAGGCTGCCCCTGAAAGACCTTGGCTGTGGAAATGCATCCCAGATGGAGCACACTGGTGCCAAAGGAAGCTGCAAGAGATGGATTGGATAACTGAGTCTCTTAATGGGGTGAATACCACATCACATTTCTCACTTCAGTGACTTGAGCATAAAGTCAGCACGGGGATGTGTTATCAGCCCCTTTGAAAGCACACAGCATGTGAGTGAATGACACAGTGCTAAGCATTTTGGGAGACTCCCACCTCACATGAGGACTGGGAGTGTGTGACCAAAACAGCTGATGTTTTCCTTCCATGTCATGGGTTATTTCCATTATAGAAGTGAAGTACATGTGAGAATCATTTGGGAATTCTCTCTTGGAGGTGCAGCAGAACTTTCAGCTTTTTACTTGAATCACCTGAATTACCAGGATGGGGTTGGCATTGGTAGCGTCATGCCACAGCTGAGTGTTTCCCACTGCCCTCCCACTGGTGCATCAGTGGTGAATTTTCTTTACCTACATGAAGTCATTTTGTGTGAAAAAACAATGAATCACAAAGAGAAGCCCAAAGCAATTAGAAATTCCTTTCCTCTCACCTTTGCCAAAGCAGGATTTTTTCCCCAGAACAAAGTCTGGGCAAGCCTCCTTACGCACAGCAATGACTACGTAAGTTGCTCTGGATTTTGTTTTTTTTTTGTTTTGTTTTGGTTTGGTTTTTTGTTGTTTGTTTTTCACAGACCATGAGTAAGCAAAGAAGCTCAGGAGAACACTCTATGAGCAGTTTGTTACGCTTCCTTGGAAATCCCATTGTGCTGGCAGTGCCTGAATTGGCTGCAGCTCCCGTGCCCCGTGATGCTGGCTGCCTCCAGCCACACACATCCATCAGTCAGCAGTGCTTCTCATGTCCCCTCTTCCTTCTCATTTTCATCTGTCCCCAGCAGGCTGGAGCATGGAGCCAGTGCCTTCCCAGCAGAGGACTGCTGAGACACCGCGTGAGTAAGGCCTTGTTTGCATAAAGATGGCACAATCACACATGAAGGTGGCTTCCAAAGCACAGTCTCATTTCCTTCTGCTTTTGCTTAGGAAAAGTCCACATTCTTGAAACTTCTTGTACTTGTTGGCATTGATGTGTTACAGAGGTGTCCTCTAATGTAAGAGCCTTGGTGAAAAGTTTTCCCCCCACCCTGAATAGTGTCTTCTGACAACTTCTTTCAAGATGTATCTGTTTCAATGGTAGTGAACAGTCTCTTCCGTTCTTAACACCAAAAAGTTATTTCCATGCTCGCTGAAGTTGCCTGGAATGAACATATTTCTATAGAAAAAGAGGGAATTTAATAAAATTGGTCTAAAGTTAAAATATTTTAGAATTTAAATATTTAGACTCACTGAGCAATAGAATCACAGAATCA